AATCATTAAATGTTACTTTTTGGGGGGCATTTCATTTTCTTGGAATTTAATTTTGTTTTCAGGGGTCATTGGATTTAAGTGTCTTAAATAAATAAACAAACAAACAAATAAATAAGATATCATCACCGCGGGGAGGGGGGCGATGATAACTTCCTCAATGGCTCAAGGGGGCGTTTCTTTCAAAAAGGTTAAGAACCACTGGTGTAGAGGGACACTGTTGCCAAAAGATGGCATAGATCACATTAGCAGAGGAAGAAGTAAATGATGGTGTGTGTGACATTGTTGAGGCTTGTTATCATGTTGCCAGAGGAGATGTGAGGCCAGCTGGCCTCATGGTTTAGTGCCCACCTCTGAATCAGTGTTGTGTACTCTGTTATCAATGGGCTGCTCGAGATTGAGTGGAGGTTCTCTCAAGGGCTTGGGAAAGCAAAGTATTCTCATCAAGGATGCATTGAATATCATTTATGATGCATAATAATAGGCTCAGTTGTGGGCTGAAGGTGACAACTAGTGCCTTTCAGTCATTTTCTCTTTGCGTCTACAGTATCTTGCAGTGTGGTGGCTTCTGGGTATTCTTCTTTCCTGGTTAATTTGTTCTTCAGCCATATTGGATAGGTAGTGTAGTCTGAGAAATGGTTACACAGTTCTTTGACTCCGGAGTCCCTGCCTTGTGGGTCCAAGCAGCTACTTGGTTGTAAACAATAGCTTTTGTCATGTGCTCAGGATAGAAGCTGGAAGCCTGCAAGTATGTCTATCATTCGGTGGGTTTTTGAAACAGCTTGGTATTAAGATGTCTAGGTTGTAGATTCTCAGTGGCATTCAGAAAGTGCTCCTATTCTAAAGGCACACCCAGGTTGAAGTAGATGTTAGGATGAGATTTACTGAAACCCTGATGGATTTTTTTTCCAGTGCTGCTTCTCCATGGGTCCAGATTCGGGGAAAATGTCATCAATGTATCACACACAGAGGAGTGATTTTGGGGTACAATGGTTAAGAAAGCATTCCAGCTCATGAATGTATTAACATATTTTGGCAATGGGGTTGATGACTCGCAAGATAAATGTTCCTATGGCCGTGCCATGCTATTATCTATGGCAGTCCCATCAATCTGGAGATAGGTTTTATTGTCCAAGGTGAAATAGTTACACACGAGCACAAAATTGCAGAGAGTGGTGACTAGGTGGGTTGTGTCCTGTAGCAGTAGGAGTGACCCATTTGAAAACAGCCTAAGTGCTGTAATTTTAAGCTAAGGATCAGCTGATACATTTCGAGCAGTGTGAAGAATAGTGTGAATCTGGCGTACTGCGAAGCAGGTCAGTGTTCATGTGCTCATATTTCAGAAAGTGGAACCTTCTTTGGGGGTGGAAGGGGATTATGTCAAGATATTTATAATGGAGCAGGTCACTATATTGTAAATTAAAGCCTTGAACATATGAAATGTACTCATGTAAGTAAAATAGGTAAGAAAGGCTGTATGTAAAGTGCAAGCATACACCTGTTGCTGGTTAACAGGCAGAGTTTGAGGCTTGAGTTGCCAATTACAGAGGCTTTCCCTCTGTATAAAGGTAGCTCTGTGAGAGCATTGCTTTGCTGCTCTGGTTTAGGAGCAGTCAGGTTGTTGTGTTATACTGGCTGAAATGTACTCATGTAAGTAAAATAGGTAAGAAAGGCTGTATGTAAAGTGCAAGCATACACCTGTTGCTGGTTAACAGGCAGAGTTTGAGGCTTGAGTTGCCAATTACAGAGGCTTTCCCTCTGTATAAAGGTAGCTCTGTGAGAGCATTGCTTTGCTGCTCTGGTTTAGGAGCAGTCAGGTTGTTGTGTTATACTGGCTTGTGAGTAACCAGTTACTGTATATGGATATGCTGTTCATGTTATACTGTATATGGATAAGCTGCTATGCTGAAGATAAGCTGTTTAAGTTACATATGTAAATACAGAGTATTTGTCTAAATTAAGTTTGGCCTGTCTTAAGTTTTACATCCAAAGTTAAAGGAAGAGCACTGACTTCTGTTAAGTTTCCACCACTTCTCTCCAGGGAGCCATATTCTTTCTTGAATCAGCTTAAAATGTTTCTGCTAGTACATGTTTATCTACACATGTTTAAAGTATAGCAGACATACACTCAACAAATTCTTCAGCGGATGTGGTTAAAAAAGTTTTCTAAGCTCTGAACTCCCACAAGGCCATGAAAACCCCTTCATTTATGCTGTTTTGGCTTTGTTTCTTAGGCCATCCTATCTTTTCTTCCCTCTGTTTTCCTTGCTATTATTGCTAATGCCTCATTGGGGTCATCAACTGCAATTTCACAAAAAAGTTATTTCTAGTCCATTAAAGCAAGGTTCCCATTTATATTTTCCAGTTTAATATCACACAGGCAAATGTTCTTGGCATTTATAATGTCTCAGTTTAAGGCAAGAAAACAACAACAACACCCTCTTGCCCTCCATGGCACCAATTCCAGCACTTTTTCCTGGAACTCTGAGATCCTGTAAGTACTGATGTGGAAACTGAACTCGCACAACTAAAACCAGGCAGCAAACCAGGTAAGATGTGTCATAAAGTGTGCCTCCTAAAGTTGAGGAAAAGGCTTTCATTGCTTCCAACCTATTGACCAGAGTGACTGTATTTTCATGATGTGACAAGTTCCAGAAGAGGGATGGAGAATGTGTGACTCTCCACTGAGGCTCTCATCGTTCCTCATCCCTTGCTATTCTGTCTAGGGCTAATGGAGGTCCACCAAAAGCGTCACTGTGGCGTTTGCCCTCGTGGCCCCTGCTAGTTTCTCCCTCACAAAGGCTCACATCACGTTTTCTTCTCACTGCCACCAGTGGATTACTTCAATCCACAATTTAAATGATGTATGTCAGAACACTTGTCTTGTGAACAGAAACAGAACTTACTTATCTGAAGCAGACGAATAATAACAGAAGTTTCTCAGATACACTTTATACATAAGCAAATCAACACTTCTCTCAGTACGTACTTCTTTTCTCTTGCTATATCATTACCACCTTCTCTACCTATTTTCCTAATCAGCTCTGTCTCTCTCAGTATATCTTCCCTCTCTCTCTGACTAACCAGCCTTATCTCTATCTATATATTCATTGACTCCGCCCCTCCAGTGCTTTCATAGGTTCATGCAAATCAACTCATGAATATGAATAGCATGAGAGATGTGGCCAATTGCCACAGTCACATTTTCCCCACTTCTGTGCTAGAATGTAGAACATACTGATCATTTGTTATTTGTCGAGCTCCACTACTGCAGTGAATGTATCGATGAATATTCACTTGGCGAATGACAGCTAAATTGGCTACAACCTTCTAAATGCTGACCTTCCTTTGATTAGTTGCATATACATAGCCAATACCTGGCTCATGACTGTCAATGTCTACATCTACTAGAATCCTTCTTCCAGGCTGTGGAACTCTCTTCTAAAAAGAGAGTAGCGTGACTTACTCTGGTTATTCTTCCCCTGGCAAGCAAATACCTTTTTATCCAGGCAGGCTTTTGGCCAATGACTAATGTACAGAAAAGGGCTTTTAATAGGCTGGCCCTTTCTTTGTTTTTAAATATGTGTTTTTGTGTAAGCTGGTCATTTCTTTTCTATATTCAATGGCATTCTAGTATCATAATTCCCTTTACGGACAAGAGCTCAGTGGCAGAATATCTTCTTTGCATATATAAAGTCCCAGTTTCAATGCCCAGCATCTGCAAGTCAGACTGGGAAGACATTCTGCCTGAAACACTTGTGATCTGTTGCCAGTCGGTAATAAGCATACAGGGCAAGTAGGACCAACATTTTCATCTGTTCAATAATCTTCAAGTTATACTCCCCCCCTTTGTATCTGTACCTGTTTTAACTCTTGTGGTGAGTCCATGTTTGGGGAGAAAGGCAAATAAACAAATATCCCCCACACCAATTTTCCTTGACCTTCACAGTGTTGCTTCCACTATAATGTGAAAGAGGAAGAATATCCACAGTACCTGAGGAGATTAGGTGCCCATACTAAAGCCAAGTTCCTGGTGTGCATGTTGGTCATGCTGCTGAAGGAAGCCAGAAGAGCCAGGTGCTTGATCAGGTATTCCAAAGTCCTGGAACAGTTTTATGACGACCAAACAAATGCAAAAACAAAAGTGACATCGTCTCATTAAGCCTTGTCCATATAGTCATGTCTTAGCCAAGTCACGAGGAAAACTATGCCCAAGAATCACACGAAATCTTGAAAGACCTGGGCTCTACCACTTGTGCTGCCAATACAATGCAATGCCATGCTTTGCATATTGCTACCAGCATAACCCAGCCATCATGGTGTCTACCCTGTTTGCTGGGAATTCTGGGAGTTGTAGTTCAGAATGAACTTTATCACATTCTGCTCTCAACCCACAAGTGACACTTCTAATTCCAGTAGTGTTATCTGTACCAGTGAACTTGTCCTTCTGTCTTAGAGATTTGGGTTCTCCTTTTACCTGTAATGAGATGGTGGAAGCTCCTGGATGGCATTCTGAATTTGGGCCAATTGGTCTTCCTCCGGGAAGCATGAAACTGCCTCCTGCAAGGAAACAGACAGAAGAGAATCAAGGAGGCTTGCCCACCCACACTTAAACCCCTGAATCACAGTGTTCGAAATAATCCTGCAAAATTTACACATGAAATAGGCAATCTGACTTTTGAATAAACAAAATGAGTAGAACCCAAAGACAACAGAAAAACTGGGATAACATAATTAATGTAGGGAATTTACTGCCACAGAGCGGGGTAGTGATGCTTATTAGCGGTGACAATTTTAAAATAGGATTAAAGAAATTCATGAGGGATACTTCTATAAATTCCCATTAAGCATGAGAGCTAAATGGAACTTCCAATTTAGAGGTTTTATTTCACTGAATACCAGTTGTTGGAAGAAGATCAGAGGCAGCTATTTTCTTCCATCTACTAGGCAGAATGACATGATTGTTTTCAGAAGCAGATGTTAGTGAGCAATGGAGGTAGCTTCCTGCCAGTTCTTCCTTGAGTCCTTAGCTAGTTCCTTGTTGGAAGACAACGCTGTTCTTCAAAAGAACATGTCTTTAGCCCCTGACATTACCCACACCACCGATCCTCACCCCTTGAAATTTGCCTATTGTCTCAATTGTAGTGGAACACAGGATTCATTACCAGCACTGAAGAAAAACCTCAGCTAGGGAATGGGCACCATTTTGTCTACCTTAAGCAACATAATGTCTTGGACCCAACATTTGTACTTCATACGGATGGCAAGCCTACGGGTGATTAAGATATTCTACTCAGAATTTGTTGGAATTATTGACAACCTTCATATGATGCCTTAAGACATTTTGGCTGGGAGGGACCTCTTCCTGACCGGGGTGACTGTCAATCAATGCAGCAGCAACTCATGAATTATTTTCCTGTTTTTTTTTAGTCAAGACAGTTATAATCAGTCTGTATGCAGTCATGTGGTCAACAGTCTGAATTTTGTTAGCCATATAGTGAGTCAGTCATGAAGCTAGTTAATCAGTTAATCTATGTTCATGTAACCCATCATTATTTTCTACAGAATGCTGTTTGTTTTGTTATACTAAGAACTGTGAGTAAATGGAAACCTTTTTTATTCTTTCTCTTATCAATATCTCCCATTGAATTACTGAGACTGCAAGTGCCAGTTGAGGCACACTAAGCAATAAGGAGTGGTTTACTGTGGGCAGACATGAAGCTAATTTTGCTCTGGAGGTGTCTGACTTTTTTTTCTGCTGCACACCTACAGAAATTTGAAGCGATCAAACTTCCACACTCTGCCAAGAGAACCTCAAAAGGAAGCAGACAAGATGGATGAGGAGAGCTGCCGAGTTGAGGATACAGAGATGCATTTTGCAACTGAAAGCATCCCTCTGACAGCTGAAGGATATATCTCCATGGTAAAACCTGATGCAATCTAGCTTTTCAGTCATGGAATAAATATCCAAAGAGGGATGAAGCATGAAAGGACATGCAATGTTTTTCTGACAGTGAAAAAGGCATACTGTTCTTCTGCACTGGTAATTGCTTTCTTGTAAGCATTTGCCTTTTCCCCCCTCCTCATATCCACTGTGTGAGAGAGAAAAAAGATGCCAAGATAACTGTTCTTCTGCACTGGTAATTGCTTTCTCGTAAGCATTTGCCTTTTTTTCCTCATATCCACTGTGTGTGAAAGAAAAAAGATGCCAAGATTAGACCAGACAGACTACTGTTCTATTCTGGCAAGGCTTCTCCTATGTTCTTATGGAAGAAGAAGAAATTGATATGTAACAGACACAGAGAGGTTACATGGGTCTTTCTACATGTATAATCAGAGCAGAGCTTGGAAAAGATCTCTCTCACTGTTTTGGATTACAAATGTCTCCTTATGGAAGATATCACGTGAAAAGTAACTTTTCCAGTTCAAATAGAGCTTGGAAAAGATCTCTCTCACTGTTTTTGGATTACAAATGTCTCCTGACAGCTTTGCTACACTGGCTGGGGCATTATGGAAGATATCACGCAAAAAGTAACTTTTCCAGTTCAAATGTACCACATTCCCATCTCAGCCTTTGTTGAAGTATACATCCCTGAAATATACATCACTGTGCTTCCTTCAGTAACAGCAAAAACCAAACAGAATTCTGTTTTTAAGGTTCATAAAAACTAAGACACGTGTTTCTTTCAACTAGAATATAACAGGATACTTTCTACCAGAAGGATTTCCCAAACTTCTGATAGCTGAAACACAACACTCTTTGGGATCAAAACTGAAATTATGATTGCTGTTGGCGCCAGATGGGAATTTTTGATACTTTCTACCAGAAGGATTTCCCAAACTGTTGGAGCCAGATTGCTGTTGGAGCCAGATGGGAATTTTTTGCCTGCATTCCAGGTTTTCACCCATTCCATTCTTACCTGACGGGTGAGGTAATAAAATTTTAATTGTTATAGTTAAAGTCATTCTGGTCACAGCTGTGGGTAGTGCGAAGACAAGAGTCGATGAACACGTGGTGTGAGAATTATGCCATCTCTCTGTCAGGTGGAGCCAGTGGGGCATCGGATGAGAGGTAGATTTCCATAGGGGACCTCCCAGCCAGCAGCCTACTAAGGGTCACAAGATTTGGTGGGCTGAGAAGGCGGTGGTACCCTTAGCACAAAGCACCTGAATGCGTGCTGTACAACTGACAGCACAATTCAGAAATAGGAGCTCCCCCTGCTCTATGAATGGTCTGGATGTATAGGCTACTCCAGATCGAGAAGTATCTCGCACTATGGTCAGGCCCCCTTGTAGTTGGGGGACTAGTTTAAATGGTTAATAAAGTTGTGGCCCAAGTTTTAACCCAACAACCTGTGTCTCACCTCTTTAATTTCCGGGCTGGAAATGCATCACACTGAGGGTGTAAACCAAGACAGTAATTGCAATTATAATTTCAGCTAATGATGTTTTGTATTGTCAAGTGCAAGCCATTAACAAAAGTTATTTTTTCTTGGTAAAAGTTGTACATTGCATACCATAATGTTAACCTCTTTAAAACCAAATAATAAGACTTGTTTCCTATCGCAATTCACCAAACTTGCTCCGAGAATAAAAGGGAAATCAGCAAACCCTTTCTAACTAGATTTCCTCACAAGTAACTCTCGGTGATCACCAGGAAAAGAAACATGTAGGCAGCAACATATGAATTATTGTATAAGCAGCCTATTCACTATCAAAGCAATGGAGTTAAGTTTTCAGCTACCCTATATATAAAATTATATTACTGGATAATAATTTGCACTGGTAAGAGAAACTGAAATGAGATGAAGTATGCATAATTGTATGTGTCTATTTGCTTCTCCACTTGTTACAATCAAAACAGCAATACAAATGTTCACTACATTTGGAGAATAGGTTTGGGATAGTCTGTCTTTAAAACCAGACTATGTAGAGTCCAGAAAAAACACTGAGGGAGCACTGTTTTTCATAAACAGGTAGGTAGATTTTCACCAAATTGGAAGGTTCTCTTTCAGGTGGTCTAATTCGAAATAAAAGCTACATGAAGTCCCCAAAAATCAGTCTGAAAAGATTTTCACTAAATGTAGAGGTTATGTTTGGAATGCTCTGACTGAACACACAGGCTATATGTATGCTGCACCAGGAAATCATTTAGGAGGTGCTATAGGTCAACCCAATGATATTTTCTTAAATGGCTTCGTGTATTTTCACCAAATTTGGAGGATCTGTTTGGAATGGTGTGATTAAAACCACAATCAATATGGTGTAACCAGGGCAGATAGCTGGATAGCTAGAGAGTTAAATTAATCTGGTAAGTCGGTACCACTCTGAGCGGTGTATGGTGTAACCAGGGCAGATAACTGGATAGCTAGAGAGTTAAATTACCCATTGTGCTTCCAGGGAATATAGCCAGTCTGTGTAGCCTTGGGTAAGCTGCACAGCCCCGGGGCGCATCCCCAGAAGAAGAGGATGGTAAACCACTTCTGAGTACTCTCTATCTAGAAAACCCTGGAAAATGTTGCCGTAAATCAGATTTGACTTAACAGCATGCAATTATAATTAGGGAGAAATTCTATGACATGTCATATTTTTTCTGCAGCCTATGTTTGAATTTATAAGTAGGTTTGGACATGTTCATGAGTAATGAGTTCATTACTTTTTGAAAGCATTTTCCAAAATTCATTATTTTCTTCACATTCAGAATGGGAAAAACATGAGAGTAAATCAAACTGGACATGGAAGAAACTACAACTGACAACACTTGACGATCCACAACCAGGCCTTCCGATGCTTAATTCTAAAACAAACTTACTGGTGTTGCACCTCCTCTTTTTATATATATATAACAGGCAGGTACAAAGTAAACCTCTGGATATAGCTGTACCTGTTGCCCAATGCATGTGGGTTAATATTGTATTTTAGTTTCATTTATTTTTCCTTGGCAAAAAATTAATTAACATTTGCAAGTTGCATATCTGAAACTGAAATATTTTTTTAAAATGGAATGTAATGGACAGCAAAACAGATCTTCCTACACTGAGGGCTTGAGGAACTGATGTGGGTAGCCTGTTTCTATCAACCCTGCGGCATTTGTCTGAATCTGGACCAAATTGATGACTCATGCAGATACCCAAGAGGCAGTGGGACTCCTGAGAATATGATTAGAGGTCTGACCTACATGATTCACAGCTGCTTGGGAACAATCTGCCTCCATTCTGTTGTGGGTGGATATTGTAAGGTTCCCAATTAATTCATCCCTAGAACTTCCTTTCCTAGGCTGTAATGTGGAACTCTGCATATAACAAGTCAGACCAATGATTCACCCACTCTAACACTAATAAAAATGGATAGAAAATGGCAATCGGTTAATTGAAGCTCACCCTGAGCCTTTTATAATAGTGAACGAACTGCCCAGAAACAAGCTGTGACTTGCAAAAATAAACTTTTGCTTACAACATTAACCTCCAGCTCCTTTCTCTATTACTTTCATTTTCAACACTTAATAAGCTTACTAAAATTAGCTGAGTCGGGGGAGGGTCACAAAACAAACATAAAGAAAGGCATCGTTTTATGAGCACTACCAAAAGAAGAAGCGGGAGGGATTGTATTTCTTTGAGCTTTCTTATAAAGTGTGCTGAGGGGAACAGAAATCTATGCTATATTAAATATTAACTACCATAATCAGGTTGCTGCATAGAGGTAGGGCAATTTGTATCATGTAAGATTGTAAATACTTACAGTAATGAGCACCTTAGGAATGTAATTAGAAAGCTTGACAGAGGTTGTACATTCTGCTTCCCACATACAGGCTGTACAATTCATAATTCCTAATACCTACCTATTCATGTTCTTCTCACAAGAACACCACAAGTGAGGCCCTTATGATTAATTCCATTTTATAAGTGGAATGAGAAATGGCACGTGGTAAACAACTGCAGTGATACAGAGGGGGGAGGGCTAGATTACACCAGAAAGGAAGTCAGACAGGTAAAATAGAAAAAAAATCCACAGATTTGGTGGGATATGGATGCAGTACTGGACACCGTGTGGGAAACTATAGTTCCTTGGGTTTTTTTTTTCATATCTATATAACATCTAGTATCTTTTGAGCTGTTTGCTACATACTGTAGTATTTAGAAACTGAGAAAAATACTGTTTGGGACCAGAAATGGACACTTATTATGGTTCGGCACAGTTCAACAGATTGGGTCCACAGGCGCTATGCGCGCATCCTAGATTCTGTGCCCCGCCTCTTCCCATGAGCATCCACTCAGAGAGGAAGGCGCAGCAGGGAAGCCCACAGTGCTACTTCTGATGGGTTGCTCATGGGATGATGTGGGGTGCAGAATCTGGGGTGCTTGCACAACACCTGTGGGTCTGATCTGCAGTAAAGCACTGAAGTGGGGTAAGTGCCATCTCCATTTGGACTACAACTCAAGGATGTGCCTTCTGTACTGGGGTCAGATCAGGGACTGAACAAACATTTGTAAATTTTCTCATCCTTGATTATAAATGGGTGTGTTGACATGTCAACAGCCCTGTTGAAAAAACATGTCAAATGCTTAAGGATTTTTTTTTACTCTAGTAGAAGAAGGAAAAGACTGGGAAAGGAAAAGCAGCAGCCTTGGCAGAACAAAAATCAAAATCCATGGTGTCTTACACCAAGTACCATGTATTTTGAAGAAAAGAGCCAAAATATACCAGATCCCAGTTCCCTCATGCCCAGGGACATAGCCACAGTTCACACCATGTTAGGACAGGGCAAGGGTGCCTGTAAATAGTCTGCAATATTCTTAGCCGCTCAGAGTGGTACCGATTTACCAGATGGGCAGGATATAAATCAGACAGATAGATAGATAGATAGATAGATAGATAGATCGATAGATAGATAGATAGATAGATAGATAGATCGATAGATAGATAGATAGATAGATAGATAGATCGATAGATAGATAGATAGATAGATAGATAGATCGATAGATAGATAGATAGATAGATAGATAGATCGATAGATAGATAGATAGATAGATAGATAGAATGTTATTTGGATTCAGCATAACTTCACTGGCGTAGCATTGGCTCAGCTGGTCCTTGGCCATTAAGGATTGTATTCTAACACTGGAAGAAAAATCCATATGCATTATAGATGTCCAAACATCTTATGTGTCAACTGATCAACAAGCAATGGGACAGGATGGAACCTAACATAGCATATGCACAATATTGCTCACTCAGTCTTCACTACAAATTAGAAGTGATACATGGATGTCCCAAGAACAGGGAGGGGGACCATGAGGAGTATACATCATGATACCCTGTGAATATGTAGCCTATGGGAGGAACATGCTTTGCTCTATATTTACGCCACTACTGAATTTTGATTACTATGATACAACGGTCTCCAGTTAGACATGGAAGAAATTACCAGGGGTCAAAGTGTACCATTAGTTCTGAGACCACTTTGAACCTTTCAGGACGTGGTCACCCAAACTGCACCAAGAGAGAATCCTATCTGGATTCTATTCAGTGTAGTCCTAATTAAGAACACATTTGAAAATCAGATTAAGATTTTAGCGCTATGTCCAAGCAAACTATACTCTTCTCTGCTGTTGAGTTCAGACTGACATCTTGCTTCTAGCATACTTCTGGATGAATTATTACATCTGTTAAGCTTCAATTCCTGCAACGGAACATCTGACAATCTCTGGGACTCCTCCAATCTGCGCAAAGCTTGAGAGCTAAAGCCATCCATACTAATTTCCTCCAATTCCAGAATGAAGTCATTACATTCAACTCATTTGGAGATTTCTGCTTGGACAGTTTCCACCTACGCCCATTCTCTGCTTTCATGGCATGATAATTTGGAATTTGATTTTCCACTGCTATGCACCTTGACTCATTAAATTCATCATAAACTGGGAGGGAAAAGTAGCTGTGACATCAGAAATATGCTGCTTTCACCCTCTTAGCAGTTGATTAAGTGACAGCAAAAACCCCTGCTGATAAAATTGTAATAAGAATCCATTGTTATGAAAATTATGAAAGTTAAAAAGAGAAAAATTACAGGTGCTGTGCTTATAATATCGTTAAGAATGGAGATACTGCATCTTGAATGCCATTAAAGATGACATTGGTTAGAAGCAAGATCTGCCTTCGTAGATTGAAGCTCATGGAAAGTAGCACTGGCTGAAATCCAGCAGTCAGTTGCCACTAGAGTAGGCCCATTTATTCAGTGGGGATTTTGTAACTCCTTTGTAACTTCTAGAGTAGCCCGCTGTTTTAATGGACCTTCTCTAGAGGCAACTTACTACTGGATTTCAGCCATTGATATTCTAGGATTTGCTTTTCACAACACAGTTCGGCCCATTCAGTAGGGTACCCCCCAAAAAACTCTACAAAAAGGGTTTTGTTATTATGTTTTGAGAAACCTGGAAGGATTGCCACAAGGAAGAGGACCAAGGAAGTCAGTTATTCATAGTCTAATCGCACATACTTAAATTTGGATCTAATCCTCTGGCAGCAAACAATTCTGGGTTTGTTTGTTTGCTTGCTTAATCTGATAACTTGGGCATTCACAAAAATAAAATGCAAACAGTCCTTTATTATAAGAAATCAATACTATTTGTATAAACCATAAAACAAATTCCAAAATCCATACTGGGGATAAATACTGGGCCAAGAATGTGCAAATTTTCAAGGTCTCTGATCATCACGCAAAGGAGAAGGGGGGAAAGGTAGGGAGGAAAGCTTGATCTTCAGTCCTTGGAGTCTGGATGGTATTTTGAGGTGTAACGGAAGACCGAGGCCCTGGAAACAGTCAAATGGGACTCATCACGTGATGCAACAGTGTTGGCGTTCATCCTCTTCACTGCTTACTTTTTAGGAAATAAATGTTCTCAAAAGCTTGCACCATTTTTATGCCATTTTGGTTGGCTAATAAAGTATCATCCCCGTATGGGCTTTATAATAAACATTGTCCATTAGCTACAATTTCTAACATTCTTCAACCTCTATGTACTAGGACCACTGTAAAATACAATGAAGGCCTACTTCCATATCATCATCATTACTGTTGTCATTATTATTAATGTCACCTGTGTATGATGGCAGTCCTTCTTAGGTCAGGCCTTGGTCCTTGACTTATGAGTTGAAAATAAATGGATTCGACCAGAAGTAGAATGGGGCAAAGAAGAAGTCTGTGAACAAGAGACTCAGGAGGGGGAAGGAAGTTTGGCTAAGTCTCCAAGCAAACTCCAAATGGCTTCCTCAAATTAATTAAAGATTACTGTGTGGCTCTCTTGGGGCTTCTCCACCCCCCAGTCTAGCCAAATCATAAGCCTTCAAGACTGAAGGTTTGAAGTCCAAAAGCTTCATCCCTTCCAAAATACCCCAGCAGGATAATGGATTTTCAATGGATAATCTGAGCAGCACTAGCAGAATTAATAGTCAGAGTTTTTCCCCTGCCCAGGAGTACCATCACTGCTCTTGCATAGATCTTGGGATGTATTCTGTCTGAAAAGCACCAAACTCAACACAAGGATCAAGAAAATAAATTTCATTCATTCATCCATCTGCTACCTGCTGTTTAGTTGTGTGATTAGATTCATTTGGAGGAAGGAACATGGATTTGGATTTGACAAGCCGATACATTCAGAGGCTAAGGCATTTACTTGTGTTTTTCAAGTACATTGAGTTGTGGGTCTTGGCACATATATGAGCATTCATAGTTATATCATGGTAGGGACTGGAGCCAAGGACTGGCATGCATACAAAGTATATGCTCTGTCTACAGCCACTCTGAAAGTTCAAAAGTTTGAGATAAAGGATGGAAATAATCACACTTTGACTTGTAAAACAAGAGGTGCTTATTTCTTTGGGAAATGGTGCTGTCTGTTGAAAAACAGAGCTTGAAATATAATTTTTTTAAAAGTACTATGTTAGCTGGCAATCCTTTGACAGAATACTTTGTTATATGTTACTTTAAAAATGCTGCATTAGTAATGTAATACTAAGGTGTAACTGTTTAAGAACATTTTATGTACAGTAACATTAAACTTCTTATTTCCACTGATCAGAAGATGAAAAATTACACCAAATAAACCTTGTCTTCAAAATGCCACTAGATTCTTTGTTCTTCTTTACTTATAGGTAATACCATCATTTGTAACATATTGCTTCCAAGGTCTTTCTAGTGTTCACTGGTGGAAACTACTCAATAATGGGGGTGGGGGATTTTTTGCACATGCACAGAGGCATTTCCTCCTTTATTATTACAATTTCACACATTCCAGGGCTAAAAAACAACAACTTGAAAATGAGTTTCAAGACATAACTGTGATTCAGTTGAAGGCCTAGGCATAAGGAATAAGCAAAGAATGAAACACACACACATACACACACACAAACCCCCAAATATTTGAGTAAACTAAGTTAAGGAGAAAATGACAAAAATGATGAATGATTCTTTACACACACACACACATACACACACACACATACACACACACCTGTTCTATTGTTTCCTTCTGTCTTGTTCTTACATTCTCTCTCTCTCTCACACACACACACACACACACGCACGGAGTGAGCCCAAAACTGTAATAGTTCTATCCAAGGCAGGAAATGTCTCACCGTGAATTTCTTGTAAAGTTCATAAGTGAGGAGGGGATTCGGCAGCTCCCTGAAGTATAATTTGCAGAGTGACCCCACACAGTGGATGTCTTGAAGGTAAACTTCCCTTGTCAGGTCTGGGCATTGGTCTGAGCCAAACTCTTGCCTAGAACAACAGAGATAAAGACACAGTGGAATTAATGAAGAGAAGGAGATTGGAACAATCCCTACCTTGATTTACGTCACTGACAAAAGCCAATTTTTAAAAAAGTCGACTGATTAGGTAACCAAGATCTGAGAATGTATTACCACAGTGATTGGGAACCTGTTCAGTACTGAGGATCACCATGGAAACCTGTCCTAACCTTAAGGGCTGTATGGATTCTGCATATTTTAATTTATATGTTTTCAGAGCTATTTGCATCAGGATCGTTTATTACAAGCTAGGTTGCTTGTTAGGAACAAGTGGACACAGTTTTGCTACTTTCAGAATTACACAAAGCTCCAATGCACATATGCTGGTTTACAGGAGCCTTTCAAACAGTTCTCTTCATATCGCCATCATGAAAAATGTTTAGAAAGGAATAAACAGAAAGCCAGTATCCTCCAATGACTAGAGTGTTTGAGTAGGACTAGGAAGAGACACAAGTTCAAATCGATGCTTGGTTATGAAGTAGTCTGCATGGCTTTGGGCCTTTAACCTAACCACAAAACCACAGGATTTTGGCCTGTATTGGAAATAGGATCTTTTTGTAAATATGCTGACAATAAATTATCTCATAAATGCAGATAGAATGTGGTTTAACTAACCATTCTGTATGGGGCAAGAATATGGCACAATTTACTCAGTACACATATAGCAGCCCTTGAGAAAGTTACTTTTTTAAAAAAAAAATTACAACTCCCAGAATGCTGGTGGATTCTGGGAACTGTAATCTAAAAAAGTAACTTTTCTAAGATAATGTATATACCAGGAGTGGGGAAATGTGTGTATACACTCAAAATAAAGTGAAAAAGCTTTAAAAGTAGAGGATTAGAGAGACCATGACTTTATTGAAACACGTATTCTGAATTAGGATTAAAATCAGCACAGGGTAACTTTCCAAAAGTTCTAGTACAATGGTAGTAATAACTTAGTTCCAACAGAATAATCACAACTAACACATATTAAAAATGATCCATAATGGTCTAATCATTTAACCCTTGCTATGAATACTCATATAAGGAGACAAATTAGTTGTTTCCCAATTTACTCTGCGCAGCCCCACTACTGCCTTTTAACTCTGTGGCTCACAGATTGTACAGCCCACTATCATCACCATCATCAATGCCCCTTGCTTTTCCCCCCTAATCTGTCTCACCTCAGCTTTTGAATGTTGGATGTCACTCCAGACAGCCGATAAATTCCATCCACAATTCCGTGAGTCTCTATGAATTCTGCACAGCTCTTCAGGACTGGGGGAACTAACAGCAGAAACAAGATCAGTAAGCAAAAGGGACAGCATTTACCCAGGGGATCTTAAAGTCAAACTAGCACATTTTAAAAGAAATGTTCCGTCGGGTGGTAAAAGGTGCTTGTTTATTGTGGAAAACTTCCATGTGGAAATGGAAATGCATTAATTATAGAGATTTTGTTGGGAGCAAATGTTGATTTGTTTGTTTGTTTGTTTGTTTGTTTGTTTGTTTGTTTGTTTGATTGATTGTTTGATTGATTAAAATATTTTTGCCCTGCCTTTCTCCTTAAAAAGGATCCAAGGCGGCTTACATTCTTGAGAGACAATATTTGAAGCTGGAAAAAATGAGTATACGACAGTGGTTTACATCATTAAAAGACACTACTCAAAGCTAAGAACTATGAGTATAAAGAGGCAGTTTATATCATTCAAAGACAATATTAATGCTAAAACAATAAGCACACAAATACTAAAAAGGAATGTTTCCATTTAAAAATAAATAGCCTCTGTTTTAGATTTCTGCACATAGATAGAAAAATACAGTTTTTGTTTATTATATTTGTTTGAATACTGTCTCGTACTCAAGAAGAAATATGCTTCCTTAAAAGAATACCTAGAATGTCAGTTTGTGGCAATATGTGTTGGAAGGGGGAGAAATGGGAGTACCACTTCTCATTAAGTGACATCACTGGTACTATCCAATTTGGAATCTCCATTACGTTACATTCATTTTCAGTTTATTTCTACTGTTTCAATGCCCCAGTCTCTAAATTCAGATTAGTCTACTGGAAAAAACATCTAGATGGGCCTTCCTGATACAGTGCTAAATGCACACATTTCTCACATGGAGGAAAAACAGCTCTGCTACTAGCACATGTGCACAAATCATCAGATAAATATGCATGACCTATTTGATACCAACCCTCTCAATTAAATTGAAATTACAGCAGTTAGTGCAGTCAAACAAGATGTTGTCAGCTAAGTTATTCCAGACAACTACTAGAGCAATGTAGATAAATGACCATGTTAACAAATATACTGGCATTTATTTTCCAGATGGTTTTCACTACTGTATTTTGATCACACTAGAAAGAGAAAGGGACGTGGTGGCGCTGTGGGCTAAACAGCAGAAGCCTGTGCTGCAGGGTCAGAAGACCAAGCAGTCGTAAGATCGAATCCATGCGACGGAGTGAGCGCCCGTTGCTTGTCCCAGCTCCCGCCAACCTAGCGGTTCGAAAGCATGCAAATGCAAGTAGATAAATAGGGACCATCTCGGTGGGAAGGTAAACAGCGTTCCGTGTCTAAATCACACTGGCCATGTGACCACGGAAAGATTGTCTTCGGACAAACGCTGGCTCTATGGCTTGAAGAGCGGGATGAGCGTCGCCCCCTAGAGTCGGACACGACTGGACAAAAAATTGTCAAGGGGAACCTTAGAAAGAGTATTCTGGGAAATAAAAGCTGAGATGTGGAGAACTGCAGCAACATTTGATTCTCTCTCGCATTAAGAGAACAACATCATGGAGACTATTGGTAAAAGTTATCATCAGTACCTTCGCTCATTCCAGTCATATTTTTTTCCATAACAATGCAAGTACGGCATGCAGTATGACGTGAGAAAGTTGTGTTGCTGCTTTCCTCATGCAAGCTATTAATTTCCCACCTCAATGGTGGAAACAGGTTGTTTGTGGTTCAGGGCTAGGAAAAGGCATTTTTTAAGACTACAACTAAATTGCACAAACAGATTACAAAATGAGACATGGTAGAGTGGCAAAATTAGTCCACTGGTCATTATGCAAAATATATAACTTGCTAGCCTTCAAAAACCCATGGGAACATCAGGTACTGAAGGTGTCAGAAAATGATGAAGATCTTGTGGGATTTCGAGATCCAAACTGATAGATACCTTGAATATAACACACCAGACATAATAGTAATAGAACGAAGAAGTGTCTAGATCATTAACATTGCAATTCCAGGAGATGCCAGAGTTGAAAATAAAGAATTGGAAAAACTTACAAAATACAGAGACCTAGCAATCGAAACATCTCACTTGTGAATGAAACACACTTCAGTGGCCCCCATAGTCATTGGGGCTTTGGGAACAATATCAAGAAATTTCACAGAGTATTATAAGCAGTGGCAGCTCTCAGAAACAACACCATCAGAGCAACAAAAAACGGCAATATTAGAAACAGCATACATGCTTCACAGATATTTAAGGGATACTTTGTTTTCTTGATTAAAACTTGTATCTGTTATATAATATCAGTCAATGTTTTTATAATTTTGACTGACCTTGTCTGGTGGTACAACAACAACAACAACAACAACAACAACAACAACAACAACAACAACAACAACAACAACAGGATCTGGAAACCCACAAATGACGTCACAGATCTGGACAAGGAGTAGGTTTGATCTTGTCAGGGGAGAAGGAATGCTTCTGTACATGCCTATTTTTGTATTCAACCGAGCGAACAGGATAAGGCCAGGTAGGATATGAATGGTTCTCTTTTGCAATGAGTTTGTATTTTGCTTTGGAAGCCAAGCAATGCTAGTCTGGTCAAGTACATCAACAGAAGGCAACCAGTGGATAACAGGTAATGTACTTGGGACAGGCCGCAGCTCATTGGTACACCTGGAGTTAATTTCCAGTTTTTCCAGGCAGGCCCAGGAAAGGATCCTTCACAAAATCCTGAAAAGCTGTTGCCAGTCAGAGTTGAGAAAGCTGGGCTAGATAGACCTATGTTTGTAATATCTGTTAAGTTTCTACAAAGGTTCAAGTGTCTTTCCAGCCTACACAGAATTTCAGTGATTGTGTATATTCAAGATCCCTAATATCTTGTAGGATTCATGCACAATCTGATAAAGGACCAGGGGTCATAGGAAGTGTGTTGTAAGCCTTGCACAGCCGAGAGTAAAGCTGACCCTAGATACTTGCAGCTTGAGATGGTGTTGCAAAAGTTATCCCGACACTAACCCAAAATCAAGGGCCATAGTCCCCACAGGCAGCTCAAGGATTCTGATATAGTACATGAAATACGAAAATCCCCCAAACACCTCTCCCCATTTTCAGGAGACAAATACAATAATAACAAATGTTATAATGATTTTTCCAGTAAGCAGTACTTTCAAGACACCCAAAATATGCTTACCCTGCCTAACAGTTGGGCCAATCCTGGAGAGAGCCTTATCCCCAACTCCTGCTAGGCCTCTCACTGCAGTAACAGATGCCACTTTTGAATCTGTTCCAAATTCTGTATCCCACCACATTTTTTATGTTGGGCTAGGGCTGCTTTAATGTTTACACAAATGCTATGTTGTTTATCTCTGTCATAATTTTAGATTGTCTTCAAAAGCTATTCTCCTCCATCTTAAGTAGAGACTTCTTTCTTTATGCTACCTCTCAAAGCATTTGACTCACGAAAAGCAGAAAATCTAGTGGAACCTTAAAGACTAACAAATTTATTATGCCATAAGCTTTAGTGAACTACTGCCTATTTCGGGCATCTGATGAAGTGCACTGTAGTTGATAAAAGCTTATGCCATAATACGTTTATTAATCTTTAAAGTGCTGGAAGACTTGTCATTGTTTCTGCCAAAGTGAAGTAACACTGCTAACCCTCTGAAGGGAAAATGTTCAAGATGGGCTTCCACCTTTTCTTACTCACTTTGCTTACTGTTCCTCTCACCCCATAGCCTGCAGTGCGGATCTGGCATCCCATCCCTACACTTTCCACCCTGCTGTAGCCACCTCCCCCATGATATTTTTTTTACACACACTATTTCCTGCTTTCCCATTTCTTGAACTCAACTAAAGAGAAAACAGCTTATTTTGTCAGCCTAAATGGGGGGTGGGGGTGGGGTTTGTGATTAAAACAAAAACAAAACAAAAACAAAACAAACCCCACCAGAGACTCATCTTGCTTGTGACCAAAAATTACAATCTTCTTGAACTCAGAGTCCCAAGAGATTAAAAGGCAATGCATCAATTTCCTGCAGAGCCAAGCTCCTCAATGCATTGATTGTATGAACCGCAAAGCAGACACACAAAAATGCTCTCTTTCAGATAAATTGAAATTAAGATGTTGCACAGTCGCTGACTCATTAGGTAGTGTTGGCAGAAGGCGGGGTTAAAATGGTAATGACTGCATCATAGGTACTGAGATAATTTCCTTCTGAGCTGTCTGTAGCAGCCTGTCATGGAAAATGGGTACCAGCTATTATTCCTCATGAAAGGAAGTGACACTTAAATACATACTGAAATTCTGTAGGAAGTTCTTTCCTTTGTAACAGTTCAAGATACCTAACCTGAAAACTCATGAATTCTCAATTTGCCTTTCTTTGGAAGTTTGTTGAGGGAGACAAACAGGAAAGAAAAGAGAGAGAAACAGAGACAAATGGAGAAAGAGAGAGGAAGGAGGAAGAAGGACAGGCCTGGATGTCCCAGTCTTCTCATGTCTATAATTGAAACCATACCAGAGGCTTGGAAGTTGGAAGAGCCAGCTGGTGTCACACAGTTTCTGTGAGCTCTGCCAAGCAGGCAAAATGTCCTCATTTTGCAACTACAATAGAAACCAGATGCAGAAGAAAGAGAGAGAGTGTCGGACCCCAGGCGTCCATCCATAGGGAGGGGGAGAAATGAGTTGTAAAAACACACACACACAAAGATTGTAGATTTTTCCTTACATTATTTTTTCCTGAACAAAAATAAAATTAAAAGTTTTTATCAAGGAAACACTGTCATAATGTAGATATGTAGGGCAACCTAACATTCTACAAAAATTTTCTTGGACTGTAATTCCCATTATCCCTAGCCAGGGAGACAAAAACTGACAAGGTATGCTACAAACCACAGTTCAATGTATCTGAGAATAGGGAAGATGGGGAAAGAGGGGAGGTGAACTAAGATACTGTGCAAGAGGTTCAAAAGGTGTCGCAATCTCATGTCTTCTGATCCTCAGATCCTCTGCTTTGTTCCGTTGTCTATCAAATGCATCCTTT